ACCAATTTAAAGAAGACCTAAGATTCACATTGCTTTCATCAGAAACTAGAGGATCTGAAGCAGCCTTGAACATGTTTTGCTGCAAGAAACAGAAAGGCTGCCCATCAGGAAATTTTTCAGTCTGTTACTCATGCTGCACATTTAAACATCCCTTCTCTGAACAACCCTATGCTGAGACTGCCTAGATGGAAGAAGTTTTACAGAGAGAGAGAGAGAGAGAGAGAGAGAGAGAGAGAGAGAAAGCGCACACTGAAGACTTTTATATTGGTACACGGTTCACTGTATTTAGCGCAATTTCTAAAAGTTTGAAAATTTGTTCTTCACAGCTACAACAAATAGCTAACAAGTCTTACTATGATAGAGTGTTGCTATTGAGTGCTGTACCCATGAATCTTGGTACTCTGCAAAAGTAGCCAGATTTAATACAATAATTTATCTGTGAGTTTATATCTTTAGTGATCTTGTTCTTTTAACTTTGCTTCAAAATAAAATAAATCCCATGACCACAACCTCAGGTCTGCTCCAACTGGGATTACCCCCTTCTGATCTCACCACCACAAGGCTTTTCCACCACCAGCTGCCTGGTGGGAAGGATCCTGATAGCTTTTAATAGTTTTATATTGTTTCTTGGTTGTGAGGTTTTTAAAAAACAGCAGCAGCAACAACAACAACATAAGTTGATGTTTATTGTGAACTGCCGTGGGAGGATCTGTTTCCTATAAGGCAGGATGTGGAAGGAAGGAAGGAAGGAAGGAAGGAAGGAAGGAAGGAAGGAAGGAAGGAAGGGGAAAAACTCAAATGTTGATTCTCAGATTGGTGAATATAATTCTTCCTAGTGATAGAATTAAGTCCTCACCAAGATTTATTAGGAATTTTCTTGAATTCAGCAGTGAATTGTTAACTATCTGGAGGAGCAAAACTATCAAGGTAATAATTTTCTTCATAATCTTATTTCTCTCACATGAAATCCTAATCTCTGACATGAAATGTGGCTGCAAGTATGAGCTGATCAATCCACCATTTGAGACCTGCATTCTGTCTTCATCCATTTGCAACATCAAACATTTTATGGCAGCACCCGTAATCCTATACAAATCACGGAGGATTAAGTCTCCTTCAACTCAGTGGAGCTTACTTCTGAGTAGACATGTCTAGGCCTGTGCTGCAAATCTCATTTGTTGTTATATCTATTACTGTGTAGTGACAATCCTTTGGAATCACAAAGTTTCATTTGAAATTAGAGACCTTAATGTTCAGCAAAAATAATTAGCTATGAAACAATTTATAACATGCAAACTTATACAGGTTTGTACAGTGAGAATATGAGGCAATGTAAACAGCAACTCGAAATTCCACTTAAATTGTAAGAAATTTGAGCCAGGGTCCAGTAACTCTTTCATGCATGTGCTAGAATGTGATTTTTAAAAAAGAACAAATTATCTTGTGCGATAATTGTTAAGAGGAAATCACGTGCATGTGAAGAAATGTCATCCACGGAGCATTACAGGTACACACATGGCTGGGGGGGGTGCTGAAAAGAAGATGCAGGATGGCAAAAGATATTTCTTGCATAACAGTGAGCCTAGAAAGAAATACATTTTTTTAAAAGCAACACAAGTTTAAGCTAAGTAGGGATGTCAAAAATCCTCAATTCCAAATGTCATTTCAAAGTGTTTTTGATTCAGGAGCATTGTCAATTCAAGGCCACTTTCTACATAAAGTTTGTTTCTTCACAGAAGTGGATCTCCTGATAATTGACAATTATGTTCTGATACATAAGTAGGCACATTTCCCCTTCAATTACAGCATTCTTGTCAGCAGATGGTATGGGGTGGGAGCTAGCTGTTCCCTATGAACTATTATTATTACTATTCCCACCACAAAGAAGAACCTGATGAGAATGTACTGTGGTTAATCAATTCACACAGGTCCATTTGGTGCTATCATTATGAAATTTTGCAAGATTCAGTAGTAATTTGGAAACATGGGCAAACACTCCACACAGGAATAGGCTGGGGGGGGGTCCAAGGCTCACTAGTGTTATATATACCCTCCTTCTGGAAAGCGCTTGCCTCTCTTTCCTAGATAGGCTGTCCTGCAAACTGATTGTGTGGGTAAATGATAACCAAGCACTGTGGACGAAGTTCCATGTTCAAAGTGAAAGTATTATTATAAGCTTTCTCTGAACACAAGCATTTGGTTTTCACTGTCATTGAGGCTTGAAAGACATGTGCTTTTCCTAAGACACCTGATGTTATAGTAAGTCCCTTTCTATATTCTTCTGCTTTTATAATTTTTCACTGGCTTCATTCGTACATAGCCAAGAGGAGGAGGAAATATGTGAAAACCTGTGGAGCAGGGATTTAGAACAGCTGCAAGGCAGAAGGAAGGGGACTTGAGGGTGCGTCCTATAACCGCCATGTCCATTAAGCACAGGTATGACTCAGCTGCCTATCAAGGTCCCTTGGCCAACACCACCCAAGCACCTGATAGCCAGGTGGTTTGCTGGGTGTTTGGGTATCGCTGCTTCGCCCTGCCTTGTCCTCACCTCTTCCCAAGGCCAACCGAGCCAGGGATGCAATCTGTGCAACTGAGTTCCCCATGGGAAAAGACATCAGATATGAGGCCAGAGGGTATCATTTGGGGGGAAACAGCCTCATGCGCCAAACTGGGAGGTTCTCCACCCTGACATATGTGGAAGGATTTGTTTGTTTGTTTTTAAACCAGCCTCATAAACCTCACTTGAAGCTAGTAGAACATAGGAAACAAGGAGGATACTCAGAGGGAGATGTTTGGGATGAATACGTGTGAGCACATTTTTCTGTTTGTTAAGTTTAAGCGTGGGAAATTGTTTCTTCTTGGAAATTACTACAGCAGTGTGGTAACACAACAAGCTGTTTTGCTATTATATTGAGTGAATGGGGAAAGAAGCAGGAAGCAGATGATTGGTTAGACTACAGGGCTGATAATAATCAGGGATGGCTTTATAGCCTCCTACAGAAACTGCTGATATGCTCCAAGTTTAGCTTTTTATACATTCAGACCCCAGCGCAGTCCCTCTGGCAATGGGATCATGTACTTCTTCCCAAGAGTCATTCTACACATGATGCAGAATAAGCGGAGGGGAAGGGTGGGTGGGTTTCAAACTAGCCCCTCTTGCATTCAATGAATGACACCACACATAGGCAAAACACACCCAGCAGTGACAACCCAGCATCAAGCATTAGTGAGAAAGGGTCTCTATGCATGTACAGCTGGGAATCCTGATTTTCCAGTTGAATGTGCAGTTCTCATTAACATGGAACACTCAATCTTTAAAGGGCATGTCCAGTAAATGCTTTCACACTATTCCATCATGCGCTCTGTGAAGGCCACTCCTATGGTGGGCAGGGGTGATAGAATTCTGGCCTGTACCACTTGGAGATGAGGGAGATTTTTGGACGTTTCCCCATACAAAATTCTCCTTCCACATAGGAAACTAGCATACTGGAGAGAAAGGTTCAGTATCACTTTCTGTCTAAGGTGTTAAGACCCAAAGTGTATTCTATCTGTATTTTCCACTCAGCAAAGAGGACCTGGCAGCAATTTAGATGACAAAAACTGTTCAGAGGAAAAAAAGGTTGGCTATTCTCTTCCCCAGTGCCACTGTTTGGACCCAATCCTCCTTGGCCTGCTACTACACACAACCAGCAGAAAATGTATGTTAGAAGAGCCCTTCATAAATCTCTCTTAAACATGTAAGGTAAAGGTAAAGGGACCCCTGGCCATTAGGTCCAGTTTTGACCGACTCTGGGGTTGCGGCGTACAGCTTTCGGGTCATGTGGCCAGCATGACTAAGCCGCTTCTGGCGAACCAGAGCAGCGCATGGAAATGCCGTTTACCTTCCCGCCGGGGCGGTACCTATTTATCTACTTGCACTTTGACGTGCTTTCGAACTGCTAGGTTGGCAGGAGCAGGGACTGAGCAATGGGAGCTCACCCCGTTGCGGGGATTCGAAATGCCGACCTTCTGATCGGCAAGCCCTAGGCTCTGTGGTTTAACCCACAGCGCCACCCGTGTCCCTTCTTAAACATGTAGTTTGGCCTTAAATCCAGTATATGCAGTGAATTGTGTATTTTTTAAGGCTAAATATACCCTCTACTTGAAATTGGAAGTGGTACAGCCCAGAAACCTACCACCTCAGGGTTTTACTTTATTTTGTGTCATGTTCAGAACAGCTGTTGGGGAACTCATCTAAACCTAGCGCTAGTGTTGGTGAAATAGGACCGAGCTGCTATGGGCCTTACATTTCAACATATGCCTCCCTCAGAGATGGGGATCCTTTGGTCCTCCAGATGTTGTTGAACTACAACTTCCATAATCCCTGGCCACTGGCCATCTTCGGTGGGAATTGTAGTTCAGCAACATCGGGAAAGTCAAAGAGTTCCTCCTGACCTACCTAGCTCTATCATTTTAAATTGATTCCTTCCAAACGAACAAGGAATATAATGGGGTGAGGCAGAGGGGAAAATAAAAGCAGACTTTTCCATGTTTATTTTTTCAGAGCCAGGGTAGCTTTGTAGAATTGCTGCAACTTCCTAATTTCTTTCACACCAACCTTTTCCTTACTGGAATGTTTGTCCACTGCTCCCACTATACAAGCTGATGGTTTTCCAGAATGACACGATCAATTTTTCAGTTTACATCCAAACATAATGCAGCACGGAAGTGAAAAGTGACAAAGACCAGTCTCTGCAGCTGACTAATGTCACCTGAGGTAGACGTGTTTCCCACTAAGGCGAATGGGAATGTGCTGTAATAAACCCATGCAGATTATTTAGGATTTAATTCCTTTAGTGTAATTTTAGGTATTATGTTTGGCCCAATTTGTGCCAGAACAAGGAACAGAACAGCTGATTTTTAAAACCATCCCACTGAAGCTATCAAAATACAATATGAAGGACTGTCAGCAGCTCGTAATGAATGGTATCTGGTTAACAAATGAATGGTTTAGTCCATACCCTTTAATTCTAATCCAAGGTGCTCTGCTAGTGCAGAAAGAGAACAGAGAAGGAAAGGAGAAAAAAGAAACAGGTTGGTAGGAGAGATTACCAAATATTTATACATCAGCTTTCAAAATCACAAGAGAAGCATCAAAGCATACAGAACTGTCACCACCAGTTTACTTTTAAAACATTCCATATAAAAGAATGCCTAGATAGATCTGCAATGGTAATTAATAAGGGCTTTTTCAAAAGCAAGCATGTCTATTGGCACCTGGAATTTGATTTTAGAATAGGCATTTATCACATATACTTTTATTTAAGTTTAGGTGTATTCTTGCTAAAGAGATCTTGCCTTCTCACTATTGTTGCAACATTGAGGTAGTAGATTTGCACATGTATACAACCCTTTTTTACTGCCATATATGACAATATATAGCAGTAACAATACAATCCTATGCATGTCTACTCAAAAGTAAGTCCCATTGAGTTCAATGTGACTTCCGCTCTGGTAAGCATGTACAGGACTGCAGCTTAAATGGACAACTTCTGAAGGGCTGAAGCATAACAGGACATACCGTTACATTTGCAATGAAATGAAATTTATGCAAGACATTTTCAGCTGAATCTTAAATGCATTTACTTCAAAGTAAGTCCTCTTGAAATCAATTTACTTCCAAGTGAATGTGGTTAAGATCAAGCTGTAAGGCATTTTCCACAGTCTGCACTAAATTAAGAAATCATTTATGAACACCAAGAATCATTAAAGAAATAGTGTTATCTCTTATAAACATTAATGGTTTGGGATAGCAGTTTGCATTATCCACACAACAGGAGAAATTAAAAAGGGCAATTAATTATGCCCAGAAATATAATTATTGCCCAAAGGAAAGAATAAAAAGTATAGTCTAATATTATTTGTGCATAATAACTCAACCTATACAGAAAATGGAGAAAGGAAAAGAAAGTAGAGGATATGAAATTACAGATTCAATGTTCCTGACTAGGGATGGAAGAATCTATCAATCTCAGTTCTCTCAATTTTTCATTTTTTCAGTCTTAAATTCATATCTCCACATTTCTGCTGCAATTTGTGATTTTCTTTTAGGTTTGAAAATTCTTCAGCATTTTAGTGCAACCCCCCCATAAACACATTTTAACATGCAGTTTTGACTAATGTACAAATTTTTGCAAGCAGTTTTATCTAACTTGATGCACCTTTGGTATGTTATTTTCACAAATATAACGTTTATGTGCACTTTGTTCACAAATATGTACACATATTTTTGAATGTTTTTTGGTTGGAGAACTGCATAGCATATTTCATATAAATGAGAATTTTGATGGATGGCTGTGTTTCGGTTCCAACGATGTCTTGGAAAGGGCAAATTTGATAAACACTTTAAATGCAAACTGAATCCATTTTATTCCCTGTCCTATTCCTGACTGAAGGCTTGTTTTTTAAAACTTAAATTCTGTTAGTGGCCAATAAGACTGCATTGACTCCCCAGCACACAGGAGACATAAAAATCATACACAGTAATTTCAGCTGATTAGCAAATCCAATAATCACAGTGGGCAAACCTTTGAGTTCTCCAGAACTCTTCTTCAGTTTGAATGTTAAGGAAAACCTGGGGCAAGGGGACAGAGAGAGTAAATGCTGGCCATTTTGTTGAAGCCCCAAGGTTTACACTTGGTAATCATACCAATTAAGATGGGGCCACCACAAGCAAGCTCCTGCCTTTGGGTAAGCTAAAATCTCAGCAGCATCTTGAGCATCAGCCATCTCCCTTCAGGCTTCTACAGATTGTGACCCAGGCTATTTGCATAAAACTCCTGGGATGCTTATTGATATCTGATGTTTTCCTCTTCTTTTTGGCTGATCAGGGTCTTTTAACCATTCCATGTCTTCTCTGATAACTGGCCATAAGGAACTTCCCAACTTTTAAAGTGCAGGGAGATGAAGAATGATGTATTTTTTTTTAACAACCTTAAAAGCAAACACAAAAGTCTAAGTATCAAACCAGAAGTGATAGTGATGTTAAGCAAATATTTGAGTCCCATACTAGGGATTCTCTTTCTTTTAAAAATTAACAACAGTCATGGGGTTGGGTGGGTAATGGAGGAATAATGATTTGAACTATTGGCATGTGCAGGAGTGGTTAACGGTTCCAGGCTTCCTCAAACTCTGCCCCCAGATGCTTTTGGCCTACAATTCCCATGATCCCTAGCTAGCAGGACCAGTGGTCAGGGATGATAGGAACTGTAGTCTCAAAACATCTGGAGGGCTGAGTTTGAGGAAGCCTAGACCCTCTTCACAAAATTGCTGCTGTTTGGGGTTTTTTTAAAAGAGAAAAAGAATCCCAATTCAAGAAGGTTTGACCCTAACTCAAAGTCTGAAAAACACGGTCTGAGGATACATTCAGACTGCAGAAAAACCAAACAAGTGAGTTACACAATTCTTCAATAGGGAGCCAATACCACAAGGCCCTGGGATACAGCCTGAGGAAAGAGGAAACCTCTCTAGTAGGGCATCCTCATAGGAAGACCATCACAGCTCCACCCCTGTCTGGAACATTTCCATTACAATGACATTATAATGACATACACTGGAAACTTCAGAGGATCCTTTAGAGCCTAGAGTTCCTTGGAGGCAGGGACCTTTTTATTTTTGCCTATGAAACAATGTACTTGGCACTTTACAAAATGGATCTGTATTAATGTATAATAATATAATAGTAATGTTATAAGAATCAGTGAGCCAGCTGCCTATGAGAAGAACGGTGTGGAAGGGAAACCCCTGACCCACCTACCAAGACACAGTCAAGATAGGGGAGGAGGGAGGGGCGGCTGCTGCTGCTACTTCATGGTGGAAGAGGGGGGAAAGATGCTATGTGCATGTGAGAGCAAGATTACATTACTCAAGTCATATATGTCTCCATTTCCTATCTTTAAGATTTGTCATTGCTTTTGATACGCTAAATTCTTGCAAAGAAATCCATATGGTGACTTGGTTCCCTTCCTCAAGTAATTTATGCTGGTTTTTGTTTTCAGATCTCTGACACAGATTCACTCCATTTTCCATCTACAATAAAAGCCAGGACTGCTGCAAGCTGTTCTTTCTTGGCTTTAATACCATCCCCTTCATTTTAACAATAACAGACTGGATGGTATGCCTGGCACACTTCCTGGCCTATTTGACAACTCTGAAGTCAATAATAAAAGAGGGATCATACAGGACTAATAATAAAACGGCCTACCATATATAGGTTTGATGTAAAAATTACTCAGGCAATGTGTGTGAAATGCTTTCAACAAATTACAGCTATTACTGAAGTTAAATTTTGTCACCTTCCTTCAGAGGGCTTACATAATTCTGTGAATTTCTTTTTTCAAAATATAAATAAATTATGGAATCAACCCCTACTCAGATTAAAAGAAAATTTAAACTGCTAACAAATTCACCCATACGCTGGAAAGTTGTCTGTGCCACATAACTATTGAATGTATTGTACAAACTCAGTTATTCTGCTCACTAAAAACTTATCCTTCACATTATCTTCTTTTCTCAGCCCCAGTCATCTTTCTTAGCACTTAACAGATGACACTCATGTGGAAGACCTCTGTTCTCAGGGCCCAGTTACCCAGGAACATCTTGCTATTTGTATAGGAGCTTCACTCATGAAGAGTAAGGTGTTTGCTTTTGCGTGTTCAGACCCAGATACCCCCCCCCTAAATAAAGACACATTTGACTCAAATTTTAGTTTTGGTTTTGGCAGAATTTAGGCCACAACTTTATTGATTACAGAAAGTGAGTGGTTGCATAGGCTCTGGTTCAACTAGCTCCCTGTACTCTTGCAAGCAGCGCTGACCCAGGGCACCAGCATAAGTCAGCCTAGGGTGAACACCTGGGTAGGCAAAAAGCCAGGAACAGACTATGTTCACCCTCCAGATGCTCCCCTGGGTTGACCAAACCAGTTGAGTCCCTGGATTCCTTTAACAGAATACCCTTCACATAGGGATGGCGAGACCGTTCTCCCATCCCTATCACCTGATAGAGTGTCTATCCGCAACCTTACAAGTTGTGATGATTTGCTACGCGGCAGGTGAAACCCAAATGGCAACAGCCAATCAGCCAAGTGGGGAAAATTCCTGCTGTGCCCCTGTTCCAATGACAGACGACACACAACGGCATAGCAAGGTCAATTGCAAAAAATGCCCTAAAAGTAGGGAGAGGTGGGCGGGTGTTCCAAATGCACAAGCTGAAAGAGGAAACTCTGGGTCACGTGTATGGATATATATAGGTCCCTCGATCCGTTTGGTCTGCGCCCCATTGGCCAGATTAAACCCAACATCAAGGGACCTACCAATCAGGTCTTGTGGCTATCCAATCTTACCCACCTACAACACAGAAGGTCGGTCTCCAGGTCTCACCGCAACACGTGCCCTCTTTTAGGGAGGACATGATCTACCTGAAGATAACTACCACTTCCCCTGCTGCTTAGCTGATCGCTGCCCAATTTGCCTACAAACACACTGGAGGGGAACTGGTTAGACCAGCAGTGGGAAAATCATTTACAGATTCTATTGGCTTCTTTGGAGATTTTGCTGCTGGAGATAATTTCTAGTCTGCTCTTGCTGTTTTCTGATTAAATATGCTTTAAAGGTATGGTGGCTGGTCATTTGCTTCTTGTGTCCTTATTTGACTTTAAACTCTGAATCTATCAAGGTTTGGGCCCTACCTCTATGGGTTAGATAATTTCTTAGGAATGTCTTCTTGTATTTTATATTGTTAACTGATCTTTCTAAAAAAGAGCCCTATTTTTAATCTACTGTACTAATTGGCCTCTGTATTTGACACCTTTTAACCTAACAAACACACTGCAGTGCTAGAGAAACAGCTGTTTGGGGGCTTAATATGAGAAACTGAGGCAACCATAAGGAAATTGTGATCTTTGAATTTTAACAAGGAAGCATTTGGAGGTACATGGCTGGAATGCAAAAGCCCTCTTTTGAGCCCAGGTTTCCCACAATATGATTTT